TGTTCGCTGTCATAGTTACTTAAGCTCCAATAAAGGTGTTTGGATGACCTGTTTAACAATTACTTAAGTATGTTCTGCCTTCCAAATGGCAATGTACAATGCACTTTTTAACATTAGCTAGCAATCATACCACGACCTCACTACAAGCCGTGATTTCAATACTTTTGTTCTCTCCCCCCCCCCCCCCCCCAAGAGCTAAAACCAAATTTCAGATGCTAGGTGCCAACATGGATTTATTCTTTCCCTGTATTCATACTGCTGATATAACAAACTGAACAACCATTCATAGGATAAATACATTCATTCCAGGGATCTGGTTTCAAAAATGGACAAAACTACCATGCTTCCCGAAAACACTGCAATCACGGCGCACGAGCGCGCAGCTCCGCACCCCTCATCGACCCTTCAGTACTACGCAAGACGTTATTTACCAACGAAGAGCACACTTAAGGTACCGAAAATATCTCATACGCCCAGCCTCCAGCGCAGATTCAACGCCCAAACAAAAATGCTTGTATATTATCCTACCCGTTCTCACCATGTTCGGCTCCCACGAATGTCAACATCCGAAAGGGCGACAGCGCTGTCATGAATGTAAAAATTGTTTTTTTAATAGACCGTCCCATTTTTCACTCTCTATGGCTGCTTTAAGCAGGCTAAGCATATTGATTTGGATAGTTTATTGGTTACCTACCACATATTCCCTTGCTTGAAATTCCATGTTAAAATCCGCAGTCTAGTCCCTTGTTACCGCCCGCTGCAACGTGTTTGAAAAAATGTGGGAAATGAATTCCTCAGTGGCAAGGATGATTGTAGAGAACGGCCCTTCTTTCAGTACGCAGACACACAGCGAATCCGGACAGGTGTTTGGGAATCCGGACGGCATGCTTTGATTCGTAGCTTTGTACATGAGACGTTCACTAAAACCATTCCCAGATCCCACACGATTGGTTTTCGCCAAACTTCACGAAGCAGGTCAGTGGAATCTTAACATCTTATAAGGCGGTGGTTAAGCACAGTTTTAACTTATCACGTTCATGCAGCTTCACATGGTAAGTACTTTCGGCGCTCCATCATACACCTTGCCGTTTACAGTTGGCTGCATCCGTGAACCCGCCTAGTCATTCCCAGGGAGGGCGCCACCAGAATTGTCCAGAGGGCGGCAGTATCGCTGCTCACCATGTCCTGACCTCTAAACGGGGTAGAATTGACAATATCCATGGGCGTAGGAACGGGGGGGGGGAGGGCCAGGGAGACCACGCCCCCCCCCCACTTTTCAAGGTGGGGAGGGGGGCCAGCAATGTTAACGGCTCCTCCCCCGACTTTTCAGATTAATGTTGCATTCGGCTTCCTTTTGCACTACATTAAACATGCGTGCCAATTTACCTAGTTCACCAGCGATCTCCCCCAAAATGTGTCATCTTTTTCGTTTGTTCATTGGCCATCGCTTAGTGTTCCAGCCACACGGCCGATGCCTCAAGGCCTGGAGACTGCAACGCTGGGCGTCGAGGCTGTTATTGCTATGACTTGCGAGCGCGCATGTTCAAGACCATATTGCGTAGTTTTCTATCAGTAATCAGCAATCACAGGATCTTGAGCATTTAAGACGGATTTGGGTTGGCCGTGTTAATACAAATTAGGAACCCTATTTCATCTGCAATCTATAATCAGGGAGCACTCAATATCTCTGAAGAACACAGAAAAACACAGAACCGGAGTATTTGCGACAACTACCAGACCACTTGCGGCGATCATGGTTGTTGTTGCCCAATAAGCATTCCTATGACGATCCGGGGCCAGCTGCGCGGGTTGGAAGGCCTTCCGCGTCAGGGAGGGAAACAATGCGATATGATATATCCTTCTCATGGCCTCCGGATCGACCAGGAGATCCCGCCCCGTACCACCAGAATGATAGCAAGAAGACAATTTGCGATGGGACGGAATGGCCCTTCAGCCCTGACGGGAAACGGTAATGTGCCCCTGGTCTTCTTCTCAAGAGGCCCCTTGCCCATAAGGGAATAAGGGGTCTCATTATTGTTGGGAAAGTGGTGTCTCATTATGTTTGAATAACGTGGGTCGGAGCAAGCTGAAAAAACTGGCAAGGTCATGCCATGTTTGCGTGGGAGGGTTAATTCTTTCAGAATGTTTTATTGAAACAAAATACATCAAAAGGCTCGAACACGTCCGCCCGCAACCCCCAGAGTAAAAACAAGGATGGTCTGGGTTGCAATATCCGTAAAACCAAAGAGTTTCAGCCACTGCAAGTGCCACCGGCTGGCGGGCGCCATGTTGATCGGTCTTCTGGATAGATAGAAAGCTGCAAAAACACGAAAAATATAGATTTTACCTTCACCCTTCCAGTTCAACCTCCAGATTCCATACCGCTTTGCGGTGCTTTAAGGGCCAATCCATTCTTTTCATCAGTCTAAAAATTGCACACGTGAAATATGCCCTCAGACTGCCTTCTATATGTAAGACCTGATGTCATGAAGCTTTCAAGGATGCTTTTTTAGAGATGTCGTCATTTTCGTCCACTTGTTGGCCACAACTAAGTAAAAGCTGCTAGGCCGACGTTGCGCGACCTGGGTAAACTGCAACGCCTGGGGTGGAGGCTTGTGTTTCTAAGATTTTTGAGTGCGCATGCCCAAAATTATGTCATATGACTTGTATTACTAGTCGATTTAAGTGTTTAAAGGTAATCATTTTAGAATTGTCATCATTTTCGTCCACTGGTGGGCCACAGCTAAATATTAGCTACAAGGCTAAGGGTTCCCGGACTACGGAGACTGCAACGCGTGGTGTTGAGGTTTTTGTTGCTAAGATTTCCGAGCGCGCATGTTAAAAAACACGTTACAGAAATCATATCACCAATCGATTCTTATTGAATGTTGAACATTTTCAGACAAGCATGGCCTGGCCATGTTAATACACATTGTTGACCACTCGATCTGCAAACAAATTTTCCTCTTCAAATTTGGATCAAACATATCAATCTACAATCTGCCTTCGCGGTGTCCTCAATGTCTGTAGTACCCAGCTAAAAATATTAACACAGCATCTGAATTCTATCGGTTTAGAGTCAACTAACCATTGTAAATCAGGAGCGCCGATGATTTATTCCACGCAGTCGTTCAACGCCTGAGGTCTGCAGATTAATGACCTCAAAATTTAAACAGAATTGAGCTCACGGTAGCTCTTGCTTTCTGTTATGGTTACAAAGTAAAAATTACAATGAAACGAAGAAAACCGTGTTGCTTGTTACCAAGTACGCTATATCCGGAGACCCTGGGGGAAGGGGAAATCACCATAAGATGGGCTTTTGTCAACCTTGTGTTCCCCCTTGGCAAGGCCTTGGCAACGCCCTTGCCTACACACCAAAGCGGATCAAGACGCTTACGTTGCATGATGGGCAATTAAGTGTCCGTTGGGCCAATTCATACCTAACGCAGACAGCTTCCCGGAGGCCATTTTTCTGCGATGGTGTGGTGTGAGGGAAGATAATTTGGAAAAACATACTGTCGCAGGTGTCCAACATATGTTTCATACACCGTGTATTAGTAACGCTCATCCAAAAGTATGCAACAAAGCGGCCGTACGATCAGTTCGCGGTCAATTATGCGGGGGACATCCGGGCCACAGCAGTGGCCACAGAGGGCGGCAGGAGCAAGGTCCAGATAAGTAACGTATGACGGATGGGCCTTATTATGTACCTTGATTCTTAAAAGAGAATTTCCAGTTCTATGGCTTTTGTCCTATGGTTTTTGGCAGCTTCAAGCTTCCGAATTGGTTTCCACCTAAAATGCTGCGACAAGCCTTATCTCTTGAAAAGCAGACAGCGAAATGAGGGCGTATGAAAAATCCGTCGCATTGTGAGCCATCAATCCACTTTCAAAATTCTCACCAGCCTATATCCAGGCCGTATTTTAGCATCCACGCTGTGGAGGCAATGCTTCCTCAATGACCCGAAATGCCTACCCGCTTGTGGAATTTCGGCTCCCCAGGAATGACAGTGTAAAAAATAGGCGAATAATCTAAGGAAGCTGGATAGCCTCATTTGCCAAATGACAGATGAGTCGAGTAGGCAATATTGTGCATCAATGAGAAACAGCTCTAGATGCATATCTAGCATAGCAGCCATGACATTTGAATAAAAAGCCATAGCAACCTTCATCCTTCCCCCCCCCCCCCCGATCATCGGGTTCGCTTTCCAGAAAAAGTGGGTGAAGTACACCCTGAGCTTGCCCCCCCCCCCCCACACTTTTTGAAACGTTCCTACCCCTGTGACAATATTGTTCAGTCCGCGTCTTTAAAGACGACCTGTAATAAGTTTTTTAGTCCGCGTAATATCCCAGAATCCGGCTCAAATACTTTTCAATTCGTTTCAGGTTTGCAGACATTACGAGCTGAGTTACTAGCAAGCATTGGTTATATATTATTGTCATTTTCGCCATAAACAGTTATGTTTCTGTCGTTTTCACCCACCACTGTTAATCCGCATTTGCACTACAAAACGCGGGTCGTGTGCGAGACTTGCGTCTGAAGTTAAGTTGTTGAAAGGAACACCCGTCTGTGTTGATCCTTCGTGCCGATCGTTATTTATGGTGCTGACGATCTCCAAACATGCATACCTTTCTTTCCGTTGCATGCAACATGGTCAGTTAGCAGCCGAAGTTCGTGTGCCGTCCTTGGGTAACTTCAAATACGGCAGCGCGAAATAGTCTGCACAATTTCTCGTGTGCCTAGCCCAGGAACTTGATGAATTGGACCCCTAAAAAGAGCTTAAATGTGGATGGCTGAAGGGACTGGTCTTGACAATGGCTGAAAATCTCAGTTCAAAACATCACACTAATATAAAACACTCCTTTTAGACGCCTCCAAACGTGTCAGTACATTGAAGTGAATAAAGGCCTCTCCAAAAAACGTCTACATTTCTTTAGACGGTCGAATTCACGTCATTCCTAAGCACATGATGTTACTCAGGAAGCCATGAAACACTCTGCAAAACACGCGCAAGTTTATTTCACGATATGATATCAGAGTGTACAACAATATCCATAAAAGTCGAGCGATGCAGGCCTACATGACCTGCGAATCGAGCCCTGGCATCCCATACATGTCGCGTCCGGTGGTACATACAGCAACCGGCCCCGCTTTGGCAATACCAGCTACAGCTTCCGCCTTCTTGAAAGGCCCAGAATGCCCAGGATTACATGGGGCAAGTGAGGGGACTCTGTGGTACCCACTCGTGCCTCGTGGCAGCGAGACCCACACGTTTCCCGAAGCACAGCCCTCCCTCGCCGCGCCAGACCCGAGCATGGCTCCGGCTGACGGCCCTGCAACCCAGCTGTCCCGTCCGCAGTCAAAACCGTGCCGGCGCGTGCCAACGTGCCGCGAGCCGCACGCGCCGCGCCCCATCACAGCCTTCCTCATGCCGGTTCGGCGCTGGCCGTCTGGCCGAACGGGATGACGAGTGACTCACGTGGCGCCACCTGGACGGCGCGTGCCGCCTCCTGCAGCCGGTCGGCGAGTGCGCGCGCCAGCCGCAGGTCGGCCGGCCGCACCGGCGGCGCCGCCAGCACGCGCTCCGGTTGCGGCACGTCCTCGATGGCCGGTGGCGGTGGCGGCGGTCCAGCCAGACGCGCCACAGCACCATTGTAGTGCACCAGCCGCTCCACGTAGTCCTGCTGCTCCAGGTTCTGAGTGTCGACGGCGGCCACGTCGATGACGGAGGCGGCCATATCCTGCAGGATGTTGTCGAGCAGCGTCTCGCCGTCGCCGCGCGAGCGCGCCTCGCCGGGCCGCGCGCCAGCCGCCGCCTCGGCTGGCAGCTCACCGCTCTGCGAGCCGCTGCTAGCGCCCGGCGGCTCGCCCAGTAGCGGCGTGCGCGCGTTTGGCTCGCCAGTTTCCGAGCCGGCGCCATCCTCTGTGCTGCAGCAGCAGCCCATGGCACCTTACTCAGGCACTGCAAAGAACATGGGGTGATTGTCTGGCAGATGCCCCTACAGACAGGGCATGTGCTGTTGCATGTTACCACCACATGTGTTTGGGAACAAGCCAAGAAGACAATGCAACCATATTTTGTGTGTGTGTTCTGAATGGTTTCAGAGCAAATTGGAATTGATGGCACGCACATTTCAAAGGGTGCTCAAGCTTTATACTGGGGACAGCTTTTGGTGTGCACCCAAAGTCAATCCAGACATTCCAGGTCAGAAGATAGTTTTGGCCCATGCTTCTTGCCAAACAGCACAGGAAAGGGATTTTGCATACCATCCTTTGTAACATCAAACCTGCCAGAAAACTCTGTTGCCTTTGTCAGCTGACTTCTAGTCTATGCATATGGGTCTTCAGGTGACCCATATGCATAGATGAGATGAACATTAAACATACATCAGGAGGACCAATGACCATAAAAGGGAAACAAAGGCACAACATGCAGTTGAGCCAAATAACTTCACTTCTTTGGGATTTGAAAGAGGCAACAACAAGTAAAAAATCTTGGTCAATGGCCTGTGCTGTAGGAATGGCAAAATAATAACTAAGAAAGTAATGTTATGACTACTGTTTTGACAAATGGCTTATGACTTTCTCTGAACATTGTTGCTGCTGAATTGAATGTCCATTGAACAAACTAGTCCCTGGCTGGCCTGAAAAGTATTAATTGCACAAGATACACATATATGTGAAAATGTGCTAAAATAATTATTGCTCTCATATCACAGCCCTATTCACAGTAATGCCAGACAAGACTGGAGTACTAGGGATCTGGTTGCATTTTAGCCAACTGATGGCAGAAATGGGATCAGGATTTTCTGCCTTCTAAACATGCCACCAGGAAAAATCACAACTTATCTCTTTATTAACACCATAGCTTTCAAGTCCATTTTCACCATGTTCTTTTCTTATCTGATGCCATAGCTATACTTCCAACTATTTTCAAGATTTTCCCAGCTTCATTTTTTCACAACTACCCAGTTATGTAGTCAAAATTCACATAGGTGTGTGCAGCAAGTTTGTTTCACTTAACTTTCTATCAGATGAAGAATCCCTTTTTTAGCATTGCCATAATCTGTGATGCTGTGGAGAATTCACTGTCAGAGTGGAGTGCTACTATGAGTTAATTTTAATATAAGGAAATGTGAGGAGCATGTTTAAATACCAAAACAGTGCTATTATGGTTTTCCCAAGGTTGGGCAAGCATGACATAATCAAATAGCATAGTCTCCAACACAAAGGAAAGATATAATCATGACTGCATTGAATGAGTTTCTATATATTCCATGCAAGAATGGTAATTGGTTAACCCAGTTTATTTAAGATGCACTATGCACAGCCAAGGGCAGTGGAAAATGACCATACTTTACAAGATTATTGGGACCGAAAAAGTAGCACAGTGCTAATGAATCTTTATTGGAAGGAACAAAAAACAAGGATACTTTGCATAGGCCCAGTTCGTTTAATCCCCCCCCCCCCCCACCAAACATATACAATCTTACAGCCTGACCGCATTCTGGAAGAGTCCCAAGCTATGACTTACAGCCTGACAACGTTTAGTAGATAAAACACACTTGTCATCAGTGTTGTAAATGCATCAGAGGAATATCGTACGTAAAAAAGATGGACGGACTGAACACCTTTGAGGTTTAAGTCATTTTGGAAACAAAAGGACGTAACATTTAACATACCTTTCACGGTGCGAAATATTTGTGGCACCAAATGCGTTCAACAATCATTGGTGAATGATACGCTTTGGGCAAATATAGCGCGCTTACGCTCGTCTGCTGCCAAGTTCGTTACTAAAAATCTAGGAGTAGGTTGCAATGGGAATCCATTCAAACTACGAAAAACACGACACTGCCAGTGATGGGAGAACTGTACATGTACCTTTTACCATGTCCAGGGAAAAGATTATTTAAACACGGTAGGACATGCAGCAGGCCCGGACATCATTGGGCATGGCCTAACTGACTTACAGGACAGGACTGGCCAGACTGAATCAGGCTGAAGCAAATCAGTCTTGTAGACATTGATCTAGCTTGTCCTTTTTTGCCTTCCCACTGAATTTTCTTTCAAGTGTAGGCCATCGATAGTATGTAGCAATCTGACGATATTAATAACTTCGATTCGACCTTTTTGTTGGGTTTTAGATTTTTCGGCATTGATCACAATCCATCAGTAGTTGTCACGAGTGGACGCTCCGCCGCATTTGTTTACAGGACGGGGGCCTGGAGGTGTTGTGCTGTGGCGGTATTGTTGCGGTTATTAGGGCTGCGGTGGGCGGTTATTGAGATTTCAGTTTTTTATGTTTATGTTAGTTATGGCTCATAATGACCAGTCAGCTGTCAAGAAGACTAAGGCTACGCATGGCATATGAGGCAGCTTCGCAAAAGGTATGTACCTGTTTGCGAACGCGCGATAGTCACTGGCCAACTTTTGATTTGTAAAACTCCTTCGAATATGTTGGGTTTGAATACTTAAGAAGACAAGGGCTTTGTATTTGGTTGGGGAGCTTTGATCCCCCTCCCCCAAGTTTGAAAAGAAAGTGGGCCAAGTCAGGGGAGAGACATGCATGTTGGCAGTTTTGGTGAATAGTTTGTGTCATTTTGCCCTCAGCCTCCCAACTCAGTTTGTGATGTTCCCCAGAATTGTGACACTTCCCCATTTCAGAGTTTGGTACATTTGGTACATTTGGTACAGATACATTCCCCATTTTCCCCATACTTTCCCCATTTTCATGAATCCCCATTTCAGAGTTTATCACAGCCTTCAGAGTAAGTAGATGAAAATTAAAATATTGGTTGTAATTGGTTAAGTTTGCCAAAAGTGGTTCCCAAATTTTGGTTGAATTGAGCACAAAGTTCAAACTATGCATCTTTTTAAGTGCCAAAAGGTCCTAAACAATTTGAATATCATCAAATGTTGGTACAATGATGCCTGATGATGATATTCACCCATGTCTCCTGTGGTGCATGTGGCAGTCAGATTGCTGGCAGGCTAGTCACTATCCTGCTAACATTCAATCCTTGTACTTTTGCACTAGGCTCCAGGCAATATCCAAAACATTGATGGTTGTCAGTGTATTGTAAATTACAGTGAAAGTGTAAGCTGTTTGGCAATGTAAATCATGGCTTCATATTTTTGACAGTCTGGACTGTTATTATTCATGGTAAGGAAGATTGGGAAGCATCCCAGGCAAGCCACCAACAACCAGGCCAAGAAGTCCTGTTCATCTATGGTGTTGGAGTGAAAGTGTCCAGTTGCCATGGTGTCAACTTTGAGCTATTTGTATAACTCTGAATATTTCCATGATCTTAAGCCTCCTCAGTAAAAGATGAAGCTGAAAATTGGTGTTATGTGACAAAGATGACTCAATAATTGTGTACTCAAGTGGAGTGAATAGGACTGACAAATTATTTCACCTTTCAGAAATGCTTCAGGTTTTTATGAAGCCTGATCCAGCCAAATTGTGGTGACTGATCCCATCTTTAGCAAACCTCAAGCCATGGCTCCCTGGTTCTTTCAAGGCACTCCCTGAACTATTAAGCATGCTGTGGTAGTTTTGGATGCAAGGTGCTCACACGGAATATACAACACTGATTTCTCTTCATATTTGATAATTTGTAAGCACCAATGATGCTTGATAATTCTGAGTCATTCAAATTGCCAATGCCAAATCTGGAACTTACCATGAAATTAACAGTAAATGGCTGAACAGGCATGACCCACATTTGTCAGTGGTGATGTGAAAGGCTTTTGTGGTGAAAATGTATTTCTTTAATGCTGTAAATGGTATCCCGATTAAGGATTCATAAAGGTATTATCATTTATAAATGATGATGATAAAAAATGATGGTCAAATAAGAAATCTGCATATACCAGGAGTATGTGTAGCTGTACATGTAGTTGGGAAAGAACAAACAGTTGTGTTAACACACACCCAGACACAAAATGCTTTGCACTTCACCATGTGTGTGTGGTGTCACATTGACCTGAGGAAGCTAACCAGCAACCTTAAGAAATAATATGAGAGGGGACTGGCCACATGCCTGAAAACCAACCCCAAGACCTTTTGGAGGTCTTGACTATACACAAGATGAAGAATACAAAACCTTCTTGACTATGGTGGGGTGTTGACCACCAGCAGCCAAGGAAAGCCTGGTGTTAGTGCAGCAAGTCAGCAAATGCCCTTTTAGTACCTTTGTTAATGCCTCTGTGGAGATTTCTGGTATCTGGGAGGCTCCCAGAGTATGGAAACTTAGTGAGACAGTTCCAGTTAAAACATATCTTAACTGGCAATCTTACTTTATGACTTATTTATTACTTACTTGATTACTTTGGTTGAGCTTACAGCTGTTCCATATGAAGGGCTTGAATCACTTGTCAGAGATCATGTAATCGAATACACTTAGGAGCGTGTTCTCTTTGTAGCCAGGCACTCAATTTTCCCCAATCTCTTTGTCGTGCTCAGCTGTTGCAAACTGTAAAAGACTAGCGCACCTGGCGCAGAGGACAGAGAGTTGGTGGATTCAGTGTATTTTGACTCAGGCGAAGCATTTGATTCTGTGACATCTAACATGTTGCTTTCCTAGCTGCATACTCGCAGGATCAGTTGTAGCATGCTGCACTTGATCAGTGATCTCTTGAACTATCAGAAGAAGAGAGTGCTGGTCCAGGGTTCGAAGTCTGACTTGACGGACGTCACCAGCGACATCCCTCAAGGGTCTTTTTTGCGACCCACGCTGCTAAAGACTTTCGTTAAGGATTCACCAGATCAACGGCGAAGCGGTTTCAATATGTTGACGAATGATACCTGTGTGTTGTGTCCTGAGGTATCCAACCGCCTTACCTCTTCAGATCGGCCTCGATGTCCTGATCAAGGTCGGATGATACATAATATACGTCGGCATTTGCAACACGTGACTGAGCTACTTCCTGAACGACATCGAAACCTTAGACGAGCCGGCATAAATACGCCTGGGAAGTTTCGACGACAACAGGATAAGTTTCACGTACAGATGCTTGAGGCGACTTCTAAGGCAAGCCAGATGTTACCGTTCATGAGACGGGCATTCGCCAGCATCAGGGTTTTCACGCTGCGTTCATGGCCATGGCACGTTCGTTTTTGGACTACGACAATATTACCCGGGACCAGTTCAGCAAGCTGCATCAGGGGCGGTTTGATTGGGCTCAGCGAGGAGCTACATACTTTGTTAGGAACCTTGTTTGTAGGAACCTTGTTTGTAGGAACTTTGTTAGGAGTTAGGAACCAGCCATACCTAGGGAGGCTCCGTCTTCTCCAACTGCCGTCGCTGTACCACCGACGTCGTGGGAAAGATATTGTCGCATTGCACCAGATGCTTCATAAGGCTTTGTCCCCTTTGGTGGATGGGTTCCTGACAAGATATGATTTGAGATGAAGAGGGAACACCACTGGACGCTGGGAAAACCCCGGGCCGGAACTCCGGTCAGTTGTTACACAGTGACTGTGTGTGTGTGTGTGGGTGTGGGTGCGTGCGTGCGTGCGTGCGTGCGTGCGTCACAACTCGAATGCCCTTAAAAGCATTGGGATTCCAACAGGGTTTTTTATCACGAGTCTAGTGTTGTGCCACTGAGGTAACCCTGAGCTGTTCCTTTCCGGTCAGCTCAGAGGTATAAAGACGTACCCTGTTCGCGCTCAGTATTAAAAAGCTCAATTTCCTTTGGCAGTTGGTTTGGAACGTCCATGGTATTTCGTTTTTTCTGGCAAAATTGCTGCCCGTTGATAAGGATATTTTAAACGCTATTTCGTTAAAATGGAAGGCGTTTTTAAGTCAATTGGGCATCGTCTACCAGAGATCCTTTGTCCGTTACGTATTCCGTGTTCAATGGACACCGACGGGTCCAGGGGGGGGGGGGGGGGAGGACATTCCGGACATGGCGCCCTCGACGACCAGAAAAGGGCCACCATGCATGGAATCTCAAGCAGCTTTTTAAAATGTTAACGCGTTTAAAAAGTGGCAAGTTGGAATCCCCTTTGTATTTTTGGAGCATGAGTAGCGTGTCATGAGCTCGAGTTATATACTGAATTATCCGCCTCTAATGTACCAAGAGGTGCTGCTTGAACGACGTAAGAGAGAAAATATGGCTATATTGTCAGTACTGTACGTTTTAAGCTACGATTACTGGCATCATAAGCAATTTTTACGTCGTTTAACCAATACCTTCTCGCATATTGAAGCTCGATGTCTCAGCATAAGGACTAAGCTCATAATGTCGAAAATCCAGTACCTGAAGGTTTTTTTTTTTTGATGAAGCAACAGTTTCGCTTCCTTTTGAGACTGTCTATTTGTTTACCGTATTTTGGGGTTAGGTCTACTTTATCTTTTATTAGGAATTGAACTCAAGTCAGAGGAAGAGTCGCACTCGGAGTGAATGTTAATAGGAGCTGGACCACAGGTGGACCGAATGTGGTTGAGGTTGGATAAATTTCCAAACTAGCGTTCCAGCCCGCCCGACCCAGCGTGACCTGACGTGACTTGACCTGAACTGAACGGACCTGGCTTGGCATTACTGACCCGACCGGACCCGACCGAATCCCATCCAGGCCCATACTTGCAACCATTGATTGCCGGTTCATGCAGCGATCAGCAAGATGTGAAATTTTAAAGAAGCTTTACTGATGTTAGTTGCAAGGTACCAGCATGTAGATTGGGAACGGCGGAGGGGGTTTTTCTTGCTGCGCTGCATCATTATCGCGGCTCCACCTCAACATTAGATTACCGTGGAAAAGGATGCAAAAGGTCAGGGTTTCAAACCGCGGAAAAGCATGAAAAGCTATGGTCGAAACTGTGTCCAGCTCTCGCCTACCAAGTGCCAATGACTTGTAAAAGTAACAGGTTATAGCAGAGGAGACAACGAGACGATGGAAGTGACAAGTATGGGTAGATGTGTGCGGACGGTCACACATTCGTGCGCAAACGACAGATCCGCCCTTCTTGGAGCGCGGCTGGGAATCAATGTTAGATGTCAGCAACCAGAGGAGATGAAGATATGAAACCAACTGTTCGGTAAAGCCGGATGTTCGGACCGCAACTCACGAACGAAACTCAAAGCTGTCCAATCCGCTGTGTCGGAGAAAGTGCGCCTATTCGTCATAGGCTCACCAGTAATCGGAGAGTGACCAACGTCACCCTTTTGAAACCGATCTCGGATTCAAATCACTACGGTTTGAACCGAATATTGGACCTTGCAAATTACAGCGGCGCGTAGTCCTGTTAACTGTAAACGACATCCATTCGCAATATTTAAATTGTTAGTGGCATTGTGACCACAAGTGCACAAATCGTAAATCAATGCAGATTTGTCAATTTCGACTAAAATCGCCGCCCTCGGTCATGCCCATATTTGCCGTTTTCGAGCCAAGCTTTTGGGGAATAAGGGCCTGTTTTTCATCAGTATACCCCAGCATGTTAAATTTTCGTAAACGGTAGACTTCCCAACGCATTGGTAAAACCTGCTGGCGCCGTCTCCCGAAGGTGTCTGGCCTCGTCATCTTAGTTTTTGACATAATCTACATTATAATATCGCGCATCTCTCACATCTGCTGTGCCCCATTCGTCTATTGCCGCACAAGGCATGGCACTGGCACGTTTTTCCGCCTATGCACAAACGAGTTTGATTTGCTTAAGTTTGCTCTGAAGACAAACTTAAGCAACCCAAATGCCTTATCTTCAAATTTGGGGTAAATTTGTGTCTTTGACGGAACAATTTGTCCCCCCCCCTCCTGAGCGGCCAACCGCCACTGCCAGTGAGCATACCACAATCCTTTCAAACCTTTGTGTGACGTAGCATCCCTTGGTCAGAAACCTGCGTTGCTCAGTATTGCGCTGATTCGAGCCCAGCGCATGTTCTCGAGGCAGGGGTGCAAGTACGTTGGATGTGGCTGAGGCCATGCCGACTGGGCAGTAGTTCGATACATTACGCCCGTCTCCGTTGTGTAACGTATGGGCCACATCGCCATTTTCGATTGCCTTACGCGGGGTCGCTGACGACAGATTTCTTGACCACCTGCGCGCACGCACGTGCTCTCTGTCAGTATGTTACTACGGCCCTCCAGCACGTCTTGGTTGCCGTCACAAAGGAGAACAGTGAGTGTCGTATCTTGGTCAAATTGAGTTGTGTTGGCTCTGTGCAATGTTTCTCGTACCAGTTTCCCTCAAACGTTTTTTCTTCAAAACGCGTTAACGGCTGTGACCGCGGTATCCACTTCTGCTGTTGCATTGGGCTCCTTCCTGTGTGTTACCGACGTGAATATCACAACAATTGTGGAAGCTGATGTACCCGTTGTAGATGTCGGCGAAATATATATTTCTGGTTTCATGTCAACGCAAATATTCTACGCAGCCGAATGTCACTGTCCTCGGACGCGGCAGACTGTCCACCAAACAAGGGAGCCCCCCCCCCCCCCCCCCCTCCTCTTCGTCCCGTGCCGGCCGCGCCGCCTGCTCAGACTGAAGTATTCCATTCAGCCATCGGCCGGCCGGCTGTTGCGTGCCGCTGGCCGGGGCCGTGTGTGCCGCCGCCGCCAGGCCCACGGCCGACAGCTGCAGCGACGGCGGTGGCCCGCTTGGCCGCCGATGGCCGACCCGATACGGCCGGCTCCCAACCGTATCGGGAAAGGACGCCCGACAGAATTTTGGTCGGCCTTGGCGCGCATAAATGCCTGCAGATGAGGCCCGGCGCGGCCGGCCGATTCCCGGAACGGCGGGCCGGCCGTGCTTGGTGCGGCTGCAGCGCAAGCTCGCCGCAGCGGCGGCTGGTATGCGCGGCGGCTGGGGCGGGACGCACGCGATGCGGTGACTAGCGGAGCTGCCTGAAGACCTAGCTCCTTGGGTGCCTCTCCCCATGCTCGCACTGCGTGGCAAGTGATCACTGACGTGCGGACGAGAGTTCGCGCGATAAGGGGTTTTAGACGTATTAGTCGTTTTGTGTTTGAGAAAATGAAGTTCCCAAGCATCTCGCACGGGTGGGTTGAGTTTTCACAGTCGTCTATCCGGCTGATGTCAAGGTTTCCTCAGTACTCTCGAGCTGCTGGTCTTCGCAGGCGACAGTGCAGCCAGCTGGTCAGCACAGTATCGGTTTACGGCACCCAAGACCGAGCAAGATTGGGTGTCACGGCAACACCATCCACTGTCATACGGTGGATCACAAAGTACTGCGATGGTTCTGCTGTTGATTGGTCAGATGTTTTGATCTCAAGACAGCTAGGACTGCGCCACATTGTGCGACATCTGCTGTGACAGCTGTCGGCTTGGGCAGCGGCAGCTGGGGCAGGCAACCCTCGCAAGGTCGTCCATTACTTACCTCAGAACTTGAGGTGCACCGAATACCTGATTTCTTCTACTAAAACTTGTAAGCTGAGGAGTGCAAAGCTTTTGCAGCCTTCATATGGTGCTGGTCATGTGCAAACCGGTTTGGGGATCAGCAATGAATGGTTGTCGTTTCACTACAGGCTTCTTTTTTTGCGCGGACTTGCGTAGTTTTGAAACAGTCTCTCCCTTCCCCTCATGGTGCACAGTTCGTTACATCGATACTGAAGATGGGCCATACGTATGACAGTTGTATTCGCATCCGGCTGAAAGATGTGATTTGAGTCGCTTGTCATGCTTCGACGTCAAACGTGACAGCAGTTGTCCATTTCCAATGCATATCCGCATTATACGTCCATGCCGTAAACGGTACGTTGCGTCATGCTCACCCGAGCTTTGTCGCTGGTATGATGATTGATGCTCATGCAACGCCGTTACCGGTTTCTGGAGCCCGGAAAAACGAGACGAGCCTTCTGCTTCGAACGAGGAATCCCGGTGCTGACTCGGCTCCGGGCGGTACCACCAGCGCATTTTCTACCTGAGCGCATGCCATTCCATTGTCACCGATGCCGGCCCCTGTTTCTGACGCCCCCTCCCCCCCCCCCCATCGTCACAGTGTCACGTCGCCCGGAGTTCGGCCTGGCTCACGTCCGCCCGCTGACGCCACCGTACGGCCGTGACGTCACCAGCGGGCCGGTGACGTCAGATGTCGTCGGCAGCCATGGCGTCGAGTTCGGTCAGTCAGGAGGACGTGGAGAACGACTTTGAGAAGTCGTCGCGCCGCTCGCGGATCCGGATGGCGCGCGGTCGGGACGTGCGCGGACACCAGGCGGCCGCTGCCTCCAGCAGACTGGGTGAGTGCCTCCAGCGGGACTTGAGCGGACCCGCCGCCTTCAGCGAACTGTGTGAGTGTCTCCAGCGGGACTTGCGCGGACCTGACACGGCCGCCGCCTTCAGCAGACTGGGTGAGTGCCTCCAGTGGGACGTGCGCGGACACCAGACGGCCGCCGCCTCCAGCGAACTGGGTGAGTGCCTCCAGTCTGGACATGGTATGATATATCAGGGGACAGACTGAGTACGTCCAATGCATTCAATTTCACGTTGGATGGGTCTTTTTACCATTTATTCGATTCTGGTGGTGTTAAAGCCTCACGCTCTTTGTTTCATGAACTGTAAAAATATGCATGTCTATGGCCGGTGCACAACAAGAGGTTCACTAGACTTTAGGTATAGTGGGATTCGAACGATCGTTTATCCGATTTCCCGACTCTGACATGACTGGTGTCCCATGGGTTGCACAGATCTGGCTGTTCGCTAAACCCGCGGCACCGGGTTGATCGCCCACTGACCCGTACCATCGCCCTCCCCCTGCTTCCGCTCCCCTGCCAGTGACCGCTGTCGCTCACTCCGCAGCCGGGGAGTCGGTGGTGGAGCACGACGATGGCGCCGAGGCCGCGACCGCTCGACGCCTCCGGCTACTCAGGCGACCACGACGCCAGCCCGAAGCTGGCCGTGCGCGCCAAGGACAAGCGTCCGACCAGGTGGGCGGTGGCGGCGGCGGCCGGCCGCGCCGGCGCGCACCCTGTGACCCCCGGTGCACGCCGGCACGGAGCCGGCTTCAGCTACGCTGTGGCTGTTGGTCTGCGCTGCAGTGTGGGTAATGATATGCGCAGAGGTCTGTGATTGAACCTGCGGTTTGAGGCGTTGTTTTCGCCGGTGTGTCTATTCTAGACGGGAGATTACACAAGGAACGGATGCATACTGTAGATGTCTATATGATTAGAATAAATTTACTAGTTTGTCATCTGCTGTGCAAAGGTGTGCGGGTACACTGTTATATGTCCGGGAAGTTTCTCAGTGTTTTATGTCTGTTTGGGAATGAACGCCTCTTCTTCAGCGACGCTGACCCAGCGGATGTCGGTGATTCCAGGCCCAGCCACATGAATAAAGGCAAGCAGCAGCGGGACCGCAGGAAGCTCAGGGAAAAGCGGCGCAGCACTGGCGTCGTCCACATGCCCTCCACTGAAGTCAGCGTGAGTGCAATGTGTACGGGCAGCTGGCGGTCGTCCTGTTGTGCGAGCGCTTGTGGCGTACGCCCTGAACCGTTGCTTACTGCACCGCCCCTCAGACTCGGTGCCACCCGTGGAGCTCCGCGGCGGCGGAGCTGTCAACTATGATCTTGCGCGGCAGTCGACAGGTGGCAGCACAAACGAGGAGGACGATGATCAGGCGCTAGCGCAGGGCATGTGCGCCGAGACGCGACGCAACACGCAGCACAACGAGTTCACGGACCCGGCGGGCGGCATGGTTGGTGTCGATCCTTCTGCCAGGCCCCTCCAGAAGCCGTTCAGAAATAAGAGGTTCGCTCTACGCACGGGGTGGGTCGTACGGGTATGGCTGTTAACGCCGCTGGCGACGTGTCTGGAGTCTGGACGGTAGCGTTGCCGTACATGGGCTCGGTATAGCGACTTAACCATTCATGGTTTGTGCACTGCTGTGAAACGCTGCTCTGTGAACCTCTGCCCGTGCGTCACTTCAGTCATTCGCTGGCTACAGCTATTGCAAGTGCCTGCCCTCAGCAATGATGCTACAGTTTTTGTTATTGTTTTTAGTTTTCATGGGTGTCCAGCCGTATCTCCATAGGACCCAGCTCTGGTGTAACTGACGCGTAACTGCTTCCGGGGCAGTCCGTCGGACTTGGACGCGGACGACGAGGATAACCAGGCGGGCGGCTCACAGGGCTGGGTGGGCCCGGGCGGCCAGGCCCTGCGGTCCTGCGCCCCTACCACCGCCCTCTCCCACCAGGTCAGTCACCGGGGGGGGGGGGGGGAGGTGACGGCACGTCGAGGAAGCGCGCACATGCTGCCCACCCGAGGACCGTCGCGAACACATATGCAACCCTCTTAGCTTACAGTATTAAAGACGATATATGGGTGTTTGCCGGATGGAGATATTTGTGTATGTGGTCCGGCGCGAGGTTCAGTGACATGATTGTCGTGGCGAGGGTTCCTGATCGAAGAACGCATCATGCCAGTCGTTTTGCCGTTCTACCGCCTCCTTTGTCTCAGTGAGTCATTGGACACTACCCTGCTCGTCGGCTCCGGCTGCACGCCATCCTGCTCGGTGGCTCCGGCCGCACACCATCCTGCTCGGTGGCTCCGCCTGCACACCATCCTGCTCGGCGGCTCCGCCTGCACACCATCCTGTTCGGTGGCTTTGCGCCACCACCTCGTCCTCTGACTCAGTGGCTCTGTGTTACCTTCTCCTCTGACTCCGACTGACCGTTGGCTCCGACCGCCGCCGCTGCTCTGGCCTGGCGTCTCCCGCTACCGCCGCAGCAGCTGGAGGAGGAGAACCGCCGGCTGCACCGCGCCCTGCAGGAGCGGGACCGGCGGATAGCGGAGCTGGAGACTGCACTGGCCCGCTCCCGACGGGAGCAGCAGCACCTGGCGCAGGAGAACGGCGCCCTCATCCGCGCCATGGAGGCACTAGACACCGGCCACTGACGCCGCGGCGCGCGGCCGCCGGCCGGGCGCCGCGCAGTGTCCGCAGCGGACCGGGAGGCCGTGGCGGGCGCGAGCGACCGCTGGCGGGCTGATCTCGCCGCTGTGGTGTGATGTGCGCATGAACGGCGGCGAGGGTGGTGTCAACGAGGGAATCAAAAAACGTCAGGGGCCCGGGAAAGAAAGAACGAAGGCAGTTTGAGAGGCAGCACCGGCAGCGAAGGCGAAGTGCGTGCCGTGCTTTCTTGTCTATCTGCGCTCGAGACACGGGTGCTTTGTTTCCGAACCTTTCCAATTGAGCCGGGCGCCTGATGACTACTGCTGCGAGATCATCTAACGTGATACAGATCAAGCATCCAGACGCAAGGCCGAATAACTCGACCGTCCTCATCAAATGTCGTTTGTTGCGATGAGCTGCATTGGGTGCGGTCCTTAAAATGGATGTAAGGAACAGTGGTGCCCCACGTGAGAGTCAAGCATGGTAGTTTATGCTTTAGTCAGTCAGCATTGGCGATCGAGTCGCGCGCGCAGCACCACTTGTGTTTCGTTTTTGTCGCTACGGTCGACGGTCGTGATGGCGATGTCAGTGACCATAGTAGTGTTGTACCCCGTGAAACAACTGACAGAGTTTGGGGAGGAGGCAGGGAAAGAGGGAGTTATAGAGAATCGCAAAGCGGGGACAATTTTCCGAGTTTCTTGGCCACGTAGCAGGGTTTTCATAGACTTTTCCGCCATAATCTAGAAAGGAAACTGTTGCGATGCCTTAAAAGCGTGGGTTAAGCGATTCGCGATGCCGTTTCAGCAGTGCAATATCGCAGGTCTGCGTGTGGCTTCGCGTAGTCGTAGTTATCCTTAGGTGCGCTTCCCGCATTTTAAATTTCACCTCCCCGCTTAAACATCGGCCGCGCCGTAATTGCATCGCTGTATGTGTCTGTTTCGGGAAGACCAAGCCTCTGTGTGGGCCCCATTTGTGCCAAACATGGCTGTCGCGCGTCGGTACGTCCTCTTTCTCTTGCACCTGTGCTATGGGTCGGTCTGGATCAGGCATGTGGTCGCTGAGTACTGCAAAACTGCGTCGCGTCATGTCGGCTGTTGTGGCAAACAGCAGCGTCAGCAAGTGAATGCATTTGAGAGAAGCTAGCAAATGGAGTGTTCTGACTGAACTCGTGGAATTTGATTGACGGTCTGAATTACATACGCGCATGAACGCATCGGAAGGTGTGGGAGTGGAATTTTGGCGTTGGTTCTTTGTGTGCATCGGTGTAGCGATAACGATAAACATTCTTAAAAATCAGGGAGGCCATGTTGTATAAGTTGTCCTTACCGTTCCCACGCCCATGCTGAAATACGTGGAACATAATGGTAGCTCCCAGGGGTGTGTAACATGTCGCTGGGGATGGCTCGCAATTTTTTTTCAAAACAACGTTTGAACGTCGAGGGGATTGCCGATTAGCGCAACCTGTTGAAACAAGTATTCATATCCGCGAGGATATGCTTGCCTTTTGCAGGCTTCCCGAAAGCTGACGAAGTTTCTGTGATGATTCATAAGTAATATATTAAATGAGCATTGAGGTAGCTTCCCTTACTGGCAGCAACGCGCCCTAAAGCTCCAAAGCATCGTCATGAGGTAGTTCTTCTAATGCCTGAACTATTTGAAACCTGTACAGTTGCAACAGATGCATTCCCTTCATGTCGACAACCCGTACACCTCCGTTAACATGGCATGCTTTGATTGTAAACGCATCACTGTACTGCTTCGTTAAAGACCTAATCATGCACTGTCTTCTAAAAGCGCCCATTACCAGCTGCATTACCGGCAGCATTACCAGCATTACCAGCATTCTCAGTGGGACATAATCGCTTAGGGGAAAGCGTTTTTTTTCTCTCGATTTTGACATGTTCAGACATTTGATCGGTTCTCCTACCGTGGCCAGCCTGCCATCCCATCGAAGTTTTCTCGCCCAAAAGTGTCCGAATCGAATGCCCGATTTGTGAAATGGCCAGTGGTCACCCAAGAGTACGAAACCTTTTCCCAATAGTTCCATGAGCTCAGAGCGGCGTACTTAGTATTTCATGTGAACGGGTGTAGTGGTTTCGTGTAGAAGGGTACTTTTGCTATCTGACCTGCCCCACATTTTTGCTGACGAAAGTTTTGAATCATGGAAATGCAAGGAGCTAAGCATTCTGCTTCTTTAGCGTGGTAATTTGTACCAATATGGTGTCTGTGGTGTTATGCAGTGCAGTATTTGATTCGTGTTGAAGGGCGTCACCATGTGGTGTGTCAGCACTATCTTCCGCTGTTCGGCATATCGCGAGGTGCTAACCTGTTTTGTAACTTCACCTAGCTGGCTGTCGTAACACGAGAAAGCTTTGACTCGTTACCGCTTATTATGACCCTCTTTGGACAGAGTTTCGAGCAGCTTAAAGCGCCTAGAACTTACCGGAAACATTTTTTGGAGAAGCAACCTGTAACAACCTCTGACTCGTTACCAACGTTCATTGGGTCGGAGGCTGCCTCCCTGGCAGTAGAGCAGGTGTTCCAGCTTGTCTGACGTGCACGGAGTTGCCGCTAGCCGAAACGTATATCGCTCGCTACACCATTGGTCTGGTCCGCGCTCGTGTTGGTAGTTTTCTGACTGCTGGTTGGTTGTTTGCGGCTTCTGCTGAGCTGGAGAGCCTCATGCTATCTGGTATATGTTTACTCGGGCACGTGCCGGACTGCCCGACTCCGTTGTAATGGTTCAGATGTGCGTGAACGTGCCCCGTACGAGGGGTGCAGTCAAGGCTTTCCTAAGTTAGGAAGCAGGGGTGGGGGTGGAGGAAGCTGAAGCTCAGTGGGAACTCATCATGAGAAAAGCTAAAATGATCGCAAGTTTGACTTGTTTGAATGTATTTACTCAATGGCACTGCATCCCACGATATTATCCATCGTGATGTTTACGCTGAATAATGGCTTTCGACGAGGGGCCAACTGCTGTAGCCGAAACAGGTGAAACTGCTGTAACTGAAAAGGTGCGAGCTTAAAAGACAGAGCTCCCCCCTCCAGCCCCACCCTGGCTGTGCCTCCCTGTCGCACCGCCCTGTCGAGCGACATACCTTTCTCCGAAGGATAAGTGTGTACCAGGATTCATAAGTCTCGGCTTGGATCCATCACTGGTGCGGTATTTGCCAAATCTCTGTGGGATTTGCCCTGGGTCACCTGGTCTGCTGTGTCGTTCCGTGTTACTGTTGGCGAATCCGCCTCCACTGATTTCTGAAGTGTTCGTGAACGCTGAGGATGAACGTGTTGTGTGACTCTCCTCAACGAATACATTCACGCACGAATCTCGGATCAACAACCTTTTATAGTGTAGAAACAGCGCAGTCATTTGGAGAACATCCTTGTGTTTGTGAGCGAATCCAGTGAAATTCGCCTGGCGTCACCATGAGCACTGCGGTAGCAGGTTGCCTATGAGTCAAATTGGTGCATCAGGTTGATCTCACATGAAGTATTAATCCACTCGAGGATCTCGGTTGCAAATATTCTTGGATGAAGAGGCACCACAAAACCTCGACTAATAGCAGGGATGCACAGGCGTGCTCCTTATGTGAGTGCCTCCCCCCCCCCCCCCCCCTTAGGAAGCCTTGGTTCCACCTTTTTATAGGATTTTTAACTGACATGGCCATCTTGACAAACCTTCGATGCAGTTCACAGCCCTGCCCTTCTTGAGACTCAAATGTCTATAGTTTTTGAACCCGCGAGAGTTGGGAGAGTAGTTCGCAGGGGGTATTTCAGGGTCACCTTGGTATACATGGCGTCATAATAGCGTCATTCAAATCTTGTCTTTCTATCAGCCATGCAGCGATCAGGGCCGGTGAAAAATACAAAGGTCGAATCGTTTATGTCTAGCGTTTGCAGGCACGATTTCCGGGTACAAGGGACGTCTATTTGCACTACCTTAACACCTGTGCGACGAGGGCAACGAGGTCCTCATACATGCGTAAAAGGTCCGATGAAAAATGCTTAATCGCACTGTAACAGAACTCCCGACGGCCGCCCGAACTCCCGACGACCGCCCACATGCCCCCCCCCCCCCCCCCGCTTTACCTAGCCTTGCGAGCTCCGCGAATGACACACGTGAATGGGCTTATAAAATAAGTTTACGAAATCCATTCGAAAGATGCTTATAAATGCGTTACTACAGTATTTACCAGTGATTTTGCGGGTTGGAGTTCGGCCCATTCACCCTGTTCGACCCTGTCGCATAGAAGGCTGCGTAGCAGCCAGTCTAGCAAATTGCTGGATGTTGTTAAAGGTTCACGCGCCATTGACGCCAACCTTGAGTGGGCAGTTTAAGGTATATGTGGAACATAATGGGGTGAGAACGCGCGTAGATTTTGATTCGTAAGGGTCTCTTATTCTTCGAGTCGCATAAGTTGCCGTTTGGGCATCGAAGGCAATCTGGTTTAGATTGGGTCTGTGATGGTTGGTAAGGGGCGGCGACTGGCTTGGATGTACTGATCGCGCTTCCATCTTAACCATCGCTGTTATGTGAAGGATGATTTATTTAGGAATTGTTCTTGCTCCATGTGGGCATGTAGGTAGCCTAGCTATGTACTTTTTTTGCCAGTTTAGGATTGTAGTCATATCGTGGGAGTAAATGGTGAGCTTAAGCATAGTATCAGCCAGGTTTCACGATGTACTTTGTGGCATTGTGAGTGCGGCAGCAGGAGTGGCTAGATTAGGGCTGTGCTTGTTTGAGCACAGATTTCAGCTATACAGCTAGGTGTGAGCCAATTATATTTGCATACTGATATAGATGAAATGATTTCCCATTGGTCTCAACACTAGATGTGTTGTCTTTTCTTTTTTCCTGATATCAGCCATTTTTTCATTTCTGCATTAGTTTTTGTAACTATTGGTATCAGTGTTAGGTCAGTGTGAAAGCAGATCAGTTCTATATCACCATAGCTAAGAACTAGACATGTTAAGAAGCCATGAGACATAGTCCTTACAGGTTCATGCAAAGCTGGAAGGGATGGACAAGTTTTTCTCTGATGAAATAAAAAGACTGAAATTAAAACTTTTTATGACTAACTAGTGAATGCCTGAAACTGGTATAGCAAGCTGGTATAAATATAATGGTAGCATCTGATCTGGAAATTGCCTTATCTTTAATTCATGTTCCAAAATGAACTGTGATACCAGTCACACTTTCTGCAAAATCAGCAGATGGAATACCATTTGTATGCTACAGCTAACACAAACAGCTCATTGGTGGTATCTGACTTCAAAGTTAATTTTGTTCCTCTATCATGTTGTCAATATCAGCTTGATAATATTAGAACATTATATATGTAAAATGTATATGCTGCTGAATTGTTTTAGATGTTGAGTGTTCCGCACTGTTGTTTGGATAATGGCCTGGGTTAAGTATGCATCTCCTTAAATAATTATTAAAGGATAGCCTTTCCCACTGCTAGTAATTATCAAGATAAGTAGGAGATTTCATAAGCAATGTTCACCTCCAATATCATTAACTTATTTGCAGCCAAGGTACATAAAAGCCTAAGACTGCACCACATTTTAGGAATGAGATCTACTATCCTCTCAGTGATCTTATTAAAGTAAAACCAACAAGACATTAACAAGACAAGACAAGACATAAAGTCAACAAGACATCATTTAACAAGATCAAATTATTCAAGCCATCTTGGTGAAGAAGTGAATCAGGGCTGGTGCTGTCATATTGTAACCAAATTGTGGTTTACAGGTTATTTTAGCCAACCTCATTTTGTAGGTTACAGAACAGATTCTTTAACCATGCTAACCCTTTTGGTGTGTGTGTCCTGGATTGGGAAAGCACTTCCCAGGCTGGGTGTTGAACAATGCTGTGTTTTTAAAAATGCTGAATGCTTTGTAGTTAAGTTGTGAGCATTGACAAGTTCAGACAGGCCACCTATACCATGTAGGGTGGTCATAACAGGGCTAGTGTATAATTGTGGAGCTAGAGAAGTGGAAGATCATTTTTGGGTAAAGAGAAACTCTGGTAAGGTTTTCAATGCTGATATAGTCACAAAACCAAACAAACATTCTTAAACATGGTAAGATTGGGCTAGACAAGCTGCATGTTCTTGTCACATGTTTTTGTTCCCACCAGTGTACACTCTTTTACATCAAATTATATGATGTTTGCCCCCATGCAAGCTTGCCACATGGTCATCTCCGCATATTTAGCACTGATATCGATACTTCTGACTCAGTGATCACATACAGTTCAAACAGTTCAAACACCATTCATAATCCTGCTGTGATCTGTGCATGATCATTTAACCCTGTTCTGATGTTAGTCTGTTGATATTGACTATGCTAGCCCATTTCATTTCTGAAGTATTTGTCATATCCATTTTTAGCTGCTGTCATTCATTTTAAAATGCACATCCTTTCTTGAATGTATTTGCCAGGTACCATATTGACATGATGTAAGACTGCTGGTGTTAAATTGCATAACTTTGACAATGTAGTTATTATATGCATATATTGTTGATGTGTATGTGATATGGTTTGTGTGATTTTTTGTAAACCAGTTATTTGGAGAATCAAATGAAAATGGCAGGTTGGCAGTGTCCCCTAGTCTGCTATAGATGCAAAGAAAAACTCAATGGCCTCGGATTCTCCTCTTCAGCTGATGGAGCTACCGGCATCAGTGGATATGATGCCCACGGGCATGAACATTATTGTGAAAGAGGAGTGGGAACGCCAGTCACCTGCCTCCATGAATGGCAGCCAGCAGGATAACTGTCCAGATGTGCTGTCCGCACTTGGCATAAAGATCAACCAGTCCAGCCCACTGCAGCTCGGCATGATGGCCGTGATCAATGAGCCTGGTGAGCCAAAATCATGCTTCCTTTGTAGCTGTTCTCCTCAAGCATGCCCTTGTTGTCATTAGTTATTGATATTGTTTGGTTAAGTTTTTATCCAAATCTTTATGTTTGGTATGTTTACCATTGTTCCTTGGGTGGGTCATTCATAGAAGCAACTGTTTGTACTGGCGGACTGGTGGTCGTCCCGAGTGGCTGCGTCAGTCTGTGGACGGCGCCTTGTAAAATGTCATTACGCCATCCAGGGGGTTCTCCCCCGCCGTGTGTGACGCGCGCCGGTACCGGCAGACTGCGCCCTGCTGGTGCACGACTCGAACCTGACCCCAGCGCAGCTGCAGCCAGCGCCCGAGCCGTGTCGCTGCGACCTCTGCGGTAAGGTGCTCTCGTGCGCGGCCAGCCTGCGCCGCCACCAGGTGACGCACTCGTCGGCGCGGCCGCACGCGTGCGATCAGTGCGGCCGCGCCTTCTCCACGGCCGCCTACCTGACAACGCATCGGCGCACGCACTCGGCCGCGCGCCCACACACCTGCTCCATCTGCCACAAGGGCTTCACGCGCTCCACCGGCCTGCATCGGCACATGGAGCTGCACCTGGAGGGCGCGCGGCCGGCCGCCGCCGCCGCCGCCGCCGCATCGGCGGCCGCGCCAGCCGGCAGCGCGCCGCCACGCCGCCGCTCCCAGTCGCCGGCGCAGTGTGCCGTGTGCGGCAAGCACTTCACGCGTGCGCTCAGCGTGAAGGCGCATATGCGGATCCACACGGGTGAGCGGCCGCACAAGTGCGAGCTCTGCGACAAGGCCTTCAAGAACTCGTCCCACTTGAAGGTGCACAGCCGCACGCATAGCAAGGAGCGCCGCCACACGTGCGACCTATGCGGCAAGGGCTTCGCCGAGTCAAGCAGTCTGCGCCGGCACATGCTGGTGCACACGGGCGCGCGGCCTTACGAGTGTGACATCTGCGGCAAGGAGATGCGATACCTCTCACACCTGAAGGCACACCGCCGCAAACACACTGGCGAGACACCGTACCAGTGCAACATCTGCGGCCAGCTGTTCCGGCTCTACCAGACGTACCGGCTGCATGTGCGCAAGCACAACGGCCAGCTTCCGACGTGCACCGCGTGCGGCAAGGCGTTCAGCAACCGGGCGCGGCTGGAGGAGCACTCGCAAATGCACTCCGGCCTGGCGCAGCCGGCGGCCGTCCAGTGCGCGGTGGACAGCGGCGCGCAGGTGCACGCCGGCGACCTCTAGTGGGCGGCGTCCGAGGCGGCGTGCAGGCCGCTCAGGCGGCGGCGGAGGAGAGCGACGGGTGGGGACCGGGGGCATGCGGCGGCGGCGCGGAAGAGAACCGTCTCCGGCTCTGACAGACGATGTGTGGTAGGTCTGAAGCAGAGCAGCCCGGCCGAAACTGTGCATCGTGGACGTCGATACGCGTTCACCTCGGATGTGAGTGCACAATGGGGCGGTGTTAAATGAACTCGTGCTTTCAGGACGCGAGAAACATGGTCGCGGGGCGCTTACGTGACGACGCATCCCACTTTCACTCTCCTGTGGCTTGGTGAAAATTGTCAGTGCAGGCCACGCTAGCCATTTGGTTGCCACATGCGGCAAGATATCGCGGAGCTCGCGTCTGGGGGCGGAGCGTTACATTTCGTTTGTCTTCTCTGCTTTGGACTGGCCGTTCTTGTGCGCCGTGTGGGGCTCGGCGGGGCGCGCGCGACCGCCGTGTGAGGGCTGCTCAGGGTAGGAGGCATTTGTGTCGTATGTGCCTTGATTTCTGTGCTCTTGGATGGCTGGTCTAGTCCGCGATCACCTACTGTGCGTGTAGTCTAGTCCGGACATATGTCGAGACCCTCTTTCGACGATAGCACTGCCATTTCCACTCGTGATGTTTCCTTTCTCGTTTCTAAGTAATGTGTTGCTTTGATGTGTTTATTTTATCTGGTTTCCGGCCCAGTGTATGTTCCATAGATAACTAAGTTGCACTGAGTCTGGTGTCCTGTCTATACAGTCCGTTATCGAACAGCAAAACATGACTGCATTTTAACCTGCCACATATGGGACTTTTTCAGAAATGACCTAAAAGTAGGGGGAGTTTTCGGTTTACACCACCATCGGATTCCCTTACGACTACCTGATGAGCTTGATGATGGTTCACACCTAGAGCCAATTCTGTCTTTCGGTCAGTTTCATGAAAAAATAACTGCATGTGGCGGGTCAGAGGTTCTGTACTGTGTAAGAGACATGCTGCTAGACAACTTACAATGACCGAGCAGTTTGTGGTCCCTTTTCACCGCGTTTGGTTTCACGTACGATTCCTCCAGTCTTGACGACACCACTGTCTCCCGCGATGTCGCACTTCGTCGCCACTGTTGTAGGTGATGAGTTGAATTATGTTTTCATTTCGTGCCGAGAAGGTGCAACCGTCACCTGCTGTCGGGCGACATCTATAATTGCTGTCCCCTTTCTCAGACATACTTGTTGCACGGCCCTTTTTCATTTAGCCAGCTGTCTGTGTTGGAGTACCACTCACGTAGAAGTGACTGTTTTCGGATGTTTGTTGATGTGTTTCAGATCAGTAAACCTGTCATCCTGTGCCCTGTCAGTTGTGTTGCATACGGTCCGAAAGGACTTCCAGCTCACTGTTGGAGGTCATTTAAATCGCAGAAACGCCAACGACCGTCAACTGCAATCCATATATATATAGATATATATATATATATATATATATATATATATATATATATGATTTCGTAACGCCTTACACTGATAAAGAATTCCAATCAAAGCAAATGTTTCACCTTGATGTGGGTTAGATATTTAATAAACCATTCATGTATGATCCAGATACGATGTCTCCAGTTCGTTTGTCCTCGCATGCGGAGCGTGAAATTCACACAGCCGTCCGTGGAAGCCACCTTGTGCGGTGTCAACGTCACATGAAAGTGACAGCGGAGCGTGAAGCTCATGCGGCGCGGGCGAAAGCATGCATGCAGACTCAAAACAGATCGTGTGATCCGGATGAAGGTTATGAATTGTCGCTTGCTGCAGATTGCCAAGGAAGCCGCAGGTGTTGCGGTGATGCTGGTGGGTTAAGTGGAGGGACGGCGCTGATGGAAGAAAAGCTTCGTGCGCATTCTTGGCCTTACCTTAACCTGCTTTTTTTTGGGGGGGGGGGTCTTAGGCCCTGAACGTAGGATAATCCCGTGGAATAGGAAGGTGGTTTTGGCATTAGGGCCTCGACGAGGTCAGAAAAGATGGATCACTTTTATCATGGCTGCCAAAATTTTTGACGGACGATTCTCAGGAACTGAGCGTGTTTCTCCAGCGTTCGGCCCCGTGCGTTTTAACTTTCGAAGTCATTATATTCACTACCATCCCATTGTATCATGTCCTTTCGGATGCGGAGCGTCATTCTCATATATTTTTTGTTGCGCATTTCGTGGTACGTAGTCATCGTATCGGAAAACATCGTGACCGATAAGACGCTCCCGGGTGACCGTTTGACTACCCTTTGCTCGGGTGGGTGTCAATTTGGTATTTCAAATTAAGAGAGCTGAAGACACCTAGGTCAACTCTCAGCTAGGTGAACTCACTTGTGTCAAGCTTTGAGGTTCCTGGGTCAGGATCTTCAGGTCAAATAGGGTCAAACAAAGTCGTACCCCAAATTGGTGTCCAAAATGCCCCAAACGTTTTCATGCAACCGCCCTGAACTTGGGTACCTATTCTAAGCAAAAGGTCACTGGTGCTCATTGCAGGTCAGTGAACTCGTTTGACCTTAAGAAGATTGGGGTGACCAAAATCATGCAAGAACGCTTCGATTTTTGCAGTTGAATGATCATGAATGATAACGCTAGGCGGGATGTCCCTAAGACAAAAATGTTGGCCTGGGTCATTTAAGGTTCGTGACCTGGTCTGACTTTCAAGGAGTCCATGGAAGATGTATGATGCGATTAGTGTTCGCAATAAATTAAAAATGGGTGCCAGGAACTATCTCATATAGCAGAAAAAGTTGGTTTTGACCTTGGTCTGACCTTAATACCTGACCCTAGGTCAATTGAATGTATTAATTACATTGTGTTGTTGCCTAAGAAACTTTGTCAGAGATGTATGGTTTCGTCTAACATTCCGTTGCAGCCTCAGGTTGAACGTTCCCTGGAGATTCCCTTCGCTGAATCCATTACCTCACTGTGGGTTATCGTAGATCAGTGACCTTACCAGGCACATTCAAATTTTTGAAACCAAAAGTCCGCTGTTCACCTGTTTATAGCCTTGAAATATTTGGCGCGGCTGCGCTGCGCTATTGGAAAATTATTCCGGAAAAACCGCGGGGTCAAAATGACTCCCCCATCCCAGCGCCTGTTAAGTTGTTCTTTGCAGAGTATAACTACGCATGTACAAAACCTCGTATTGACACCTTCTTGCATCCAACGAGCTTGAGATCAGGATTTCTTTTCATCGCTGCTCGTTGCATATGCAATAAGACATGTCGCATTACTTTTCACACTCATAACTCTTTGTGAGTCGCTTTCTTCGAACGCTCAGGCCTCCGCATCACATTTTTTCCGCGAGTGCGTTCCATTGTCCTACCGCATTACTACGTCGGAGAGACGCCAAGAAAGGGGCCATGACACCTCTCCTTTCTTTCCGCAGTCTTCTGTGGCCCCATGGTGGCAGCAATAAGTCTATTGTTGGAACCGTTTGTCAGGGCGTCAAAGCGTTTTTCTGTCGCCGACAAAATTTGGAACAGTCTTACTTGTCACTTGGAGCAAATTTTTTCGGAAACCGTTGTGATGTAATTCTGAATGCGATAAACCCCATCATAAAAAGATAAATGAAGTGCAATGCGTCATCAACATCAAACATTAGCGTTTCGGGAGTTTCATTGTCACTTGAGTGCCATTTGCTGGCCATGCCAAAAGTCCCGGTGGTTAGGACACAAGTCTTAGTGCACAAATGTGCCGCAGGTAGCGGGCGTAAGGCCGATAAGCACGTCGGTTTCGCTGGTTTAGTTATCCATACAAAAAAAAACTACCGAATTGCTATCAGAATGTACTCTTTTTAATGTCCCGAATTACGTCATCGTAATTTCAGCATCACTGCGCTGGAATAGCCACGATATGGCCTTTGCTATAATTACGGCGTGTGAGATGGAGCATCATAGCTTATGTAGTTCTTAAAATACATATTTCTGAGCCTTTGCAAGCTGCGCTCTGGAAATATTTACGCCCCAATCGGAAACCACCAACCATCAATCCGATGCTGGATAACGTATCTCGTGGCCTTGGGTACGTGGATGGCAGGTCATCGTTACGAGCCGTACTTGACGTAAAAAGTAAGAGCCGAGCCGTATGTCAACGCAACTGGCCGTGCTTAGCAAAGTTGGTCGATGATTGTGCGCTGTGGTTGCTGAGACTATTTTGTCGTATGACGACCTTGTTAAGTGTTTTGCAACACTTCTGATTTCAGTGCCGTTCGTCGAACAAGATGGTAATTTCTTAAAGTGGAATTTGGGCAGCTCATTTACAACCGTCCATAGCGTTTGTCCTCTATCCTGCTACGGGAATTTTCACATGCAACACATCACAAGTTCCAGCTGTGGACCTAGGACCTAATGATCGCATAACATGAACTCGTAAAAATAGAGCAAGGTGTGAAATATTTCTTGCATTATACCGTACTGTGTCATTGTAATGTCCTGTGTGTTATCAGATCGTGCAGCGCCAGTACATCATTGCAGCGGCGGTGAGCCGCTCACTGAGGCGTCGCTATTTCGAGCACTGAAACTGTCGAATGTCCGACGCAGGAGGGGCCGGTTGTCGTCCGACGGACGGAGCCGTTCGGCGCAGGGAATGCCGCCTGTCTGGTGCTGCACCGGCGTTGTGTCCGGCACAGGAGAGGCCGGGTGTCGTCCGACGGGCGGAGCCGTTCGGCGCAGGGAATGCCGCCTGTCTGGTGCTGCACCGGCGTCGTGTCCGGCACAGGAGAGGCCGCGTGTCCGACGCAGGGCTGGGAAGCGTTGGCGGCGGGCTGTGGCACGTTTAACTCTCGTCTTGATTCACCGTTTTTCATAGCGAGGACTAATGGATGAGGGGGGATGATGGGGGGGGGGCGGGGGGCGTTGGCCGGTTCGGGGGAGGGGAGGTTAATCTGACCCGCTGCCGTTTCCAATCTAAAAAAGATTGTGGAAAATTCAGTGGATTTGCCCCAACAACATCCTGTGATCACCCATACACAGCCATACGTCGGTTGCTGGTAAGTCAATAATTGACCCTTCTAAGCTAGATCAGAGGTAAAATTTCCTGAAAATCTAATTTGTGGAGTTCACATGCCCTTATGCATGAGATCATGCCTCGAAATGACACGGAATTTAAGCAGCCGTGTTTCCACGCATATCTATAATATAGGAGCGCGTTAATGCAGCGGTGTCTCGGCACTCCGCGCTTTCCGCGGCGTCGTCAGATCACCGAGCAGTGTTCCTAGAAGACAGCGCCTACTCAAAAAGCGGAATTGCAAGGGTCACGTCAAAACACGCGCAAAGTATGTCCAGACGATAGCGGAAGTTTGGGCGCGATTGCATGGCACGCTGGAGAGGAATCCTCCGAAAACCTGAGGGGCGGGGGCTCGCGTGTCGAGCCGATCGTTTTCGTTTTTATTTTTGGAAGTGCTGGAGTTTGTACACGGTCTACTGACCTCGGACCTCAAGCGCATCCACGAAACCCGCGTCATTGCAGACCAAAACAAGCTCAGCAACCGCTGCAGAAAATACGCGGCCGTTGCGCGCATTTATTATAAATTCACAGCCTGACTGCGCTGGGGACCGGGTGATGAAATTTTCAATCATGGGAACGAAACTTCTGACTGGCCAACGAAGTGTCAGTTGTGGACCAGGCCACCAATCTCGTCGACTCGACCAGGGCTTACAGGGGTTTAGTTTCCTATTCAGCTTGGGCAATTGTGGCTGGTGACCGAAGATATGGTTTCCCCTTTGTATTCCTCATTAAATATTCGTCACTTTCACCAGTCAGCATTTTTAGGGCTCAGCTCACCCACACAATTTTTAGAAACTACGACCATGCACTCAACTGAAAAGAAAGTGGGCCCAATCCAAGGAAAAACTTTCGATTGCGTTTTGGAGGCAGGCTGATCCATTTTTCTTCTTGCTTTCTTCCCCCCTTCTCCATCGCCCTATTTTGCAAAATTGCATCCTTGTAGCACTACATCTACCAGTGTGACTTCCGATGTCGACTTATGGCGACGTCCACCACTCTGTGGAGGCCATCGCCGTCCGTCTATACGACGTATGGCGACTTCCGAGTGGTGGAAGTCACCATAAGGGATGCGAAAAACTTCGCGGATTTGGTCCAGTTATGTTCTGGCTATACATTATGCATATGATAGATATATATATATATATATATATATATATATATATATATATATATATATATGAGTGTATATATATATATATATACATATATGAGTGTATATATACATATTTATAATTATATAACCTACACTTACTACTACAGTACGTGCAATCTGCACATGATTTATCATTATATGCTTTTTTAATTGGCTGTGTATTTTTAATATACTATCACAATCCGTCTACACGCAGGTTCTCGATATAGAAACACATCGACAGAAAACAGGCGTTTCATTAAAAGTGCAACCAAACACAACCGTTCCTCAGCGCATCATTTCAAAATACACTCAGGCAGGTACGCTCACTAGGCTTGCCTTTCTCCGCTTGTTAAAACAAAACGCCCGCTGGAGGCTACTGTACTTCTGGGGGACGCTGCTCTAAGCTGTTGTGCCTCTAAAGGAAAAGCGGCATTC